GCTGATTCTTCGGTTATACATGTTTTGAAAGGCCACAATATTTACGATATTTGTCAAGATTTGATATTAAAATTCTTATAAAAAAAATAATAATAATATATAAATCTCAATTTAACTAAAACATTTTTTTTTTTTTTTTTGAACCACGAAGTACGATTTATAATGAACCCTCATTGTTAAATCCAGACAATTTTTCTAGGGGGGAAGCATTACCTTATTTTTTTGCTTATCTTCCCTTTTACTAAGAAGACTAAAATTGGTTTAATTATTTAATTAGTTATTAATTTACCTACATTCACAGTGGGGGCAAACAAAATTACAAAGAAGGGATATCCCTGGCATATACTTGGATTCAACACTAAATGAACCTCCTGTTAAATTTTCAAGCGTTTTTATTCAGTTCAATTATTTTATTTATCGAGTCCTTGCCAAATAAAAATTACTCAAAAACTCTCAAAATAAAAATGATCATAATTAGCTCAAAAATAACTCAAACGTTTTGACAATTTTACCACGTCAAAAAAAAGCAATTATAAGTTTTCTGTCAAAACTTTGCACGATGGATGGGTCACTGTTATAAGTGAGAAGTTAGGAAGTTAGGATATAGAAAGGAATTTAATTTATATTTGTATGCAACGATAAACCATTGCTAACGAAAAACGATTTGAAGCGAAGTTTCTTTTATATATTTACGTATTTTCCTGGTTTTCAAATTATTATGAAAACAGCTTAAAAAATGAAAAACTGAAAGTACCCGGATTAAAATTCCTTCCATAAAAGGTACCAAAATTGAAAATCAAAGAAAGATTTCTGGTAGAAAAACCGTTCACAGATAAAAAAATTAACACCATTATAAAATTAATATATTCCTCACTACATTCCAAATCTAACATGAACAAACTATAGACACATATTCACAGTGAAATCCCCACCAAAAGCCAACTAAAGTACTAGAAAAAAGTTAGAAAAAACAATTTTGTTTATCAGCTCATATATTACGTATAATATAATATTTGATTTCTTTAAAGTTCATAAATATTATTTTATACATTTTGATATAATGAAATTTTGTAAGTACTAATTCTTCTAATAAATAGTATTTAATAAAATATTATTGAATTATTTTGATAAAACAAATTCTACAATGCTATTTTTATTGTTAATTGATTAAATTTGCAATAACAATTTTGATCTAAAGTTTAATGTTCAATTTCTTCGCTTCTTCCACATACTGTTGTCTGTATATCTTCTTGGGATCATATTTATCTTCGAGCTGCATCCAAAGATCGGGTTTCTTTTCATACAAGAATTTAATGATTATTTCGGAGCCCTGTTTTTGTTTTTCTGAACAGTTTGCACATTTGTTTTGTACCGCATCCAATAAGTTACCTGCAAAATGCATGTAAAAAATAATTAGTACTATAGTACCTGCAATTAAAAAATAACTATTTACAAGTATAGTTTTTTTTTCTTTTTGTTTTTCTGTGAATCAGTAAACGTTTTGGATTTTAATTTTAGCGTATCTACCTATCTAATTAAGTATGTAAATGTATTGTCTTGTTTACAACTAAACTGGAAAAAATGTACATCAACAAATATATTATATAGAATGAATACATGTAATAATAATAATAATAATAATAATATATATATAGTATTTTATGCTTTATTGGCCAACGAAAATAAATATATTTTTAAAAAATCAGTACGTATAATAAAACCAAATTTAAAGAATTGTTATTGTGCTGTGGGAATGAAAAATGTAATATTGTTTTATAATATTAATTGTTTTTCTTCAGTTGATCTACTTCTTTCTGATACGCCTGATTTATAGTCCCGTGCATCTCGTTTATAGTTCCCATTAATTCAGGAGGCATATATTGAAATGTATTAGCAAATGCCGCGTTCAGGACTTTAACTCCCGCGTCTGCAAATCACATCTTTTTAATGATAAATATTATAATACAAAAGAGGGGAGTGCCTAGCAGTATACATCGTTTAAAACATTAATTTAATGATCGTGCCACGAAATTGAAATTAACATTATTTTAGGAAATTATATAGGTATTGTTTAATTCATATAACAAAAAACAAAAGTCTATAGTGCACTTAGAAATAATATAACTACCCGATTCTATAAAGAAAAAATACAGTATGTTTCTAAAACTGTGTGGTAAACATCAAAGTTGTACTTTTCTATTATTTGTACTTAAATTTATGGTAGAATAAACGTTGGGTTGGCCAAAATAATGTACTTTTAAGCAGTGGCGTTCCAAAGTAAGTTTATTTGAAACAATTGCTTCATGAATAAAACAAGTGGGTCATGTTGAATCAATATGTTGAACGTTGATTAACTAATTCAGATATCAGAAATACCCTTAGTTTTTACGTACTATATTATTAATAAACATAATAAGTACATATGCATATGATAACCTAACCTATAACTAAATGAGACTTTTTTCTATAAAACAATTATTTTTAGAAGATATAAAAATCAATGTTTTGGATAAGTAGGTCCTAAATTTTTAGTTTGCCTCAAGTATAAAAAATTGCTCTCGCGCCACTGACTTTAGGTAGAAAGGATGAATATTACACCAAATTCTTAAACAGATGAATCTAATATTATCGATATTTTCTATTTCTGTTAGAGTATAATATTGTAAAAACTAAAAATAAGAAAACGAACAAAGAATGGGTTTAGTGAAATTGTTAAGTTTTTAGTTTTAGTAGATTTTATTTTGTTGGATAATCGAGAGAAGGTCTAAACTAATTTCTAAATAAAATTAAACTATTTTCGGAAAAATAATATTTAAAACAATATTATCAAACTTAAACAATTATAAATTATTCTGCTCAATTTCTTCGGCGTTTCGTTTAAACATAAATAAATTTCGTTTTTAAAACACTTATAAATCCTTCGAAAAATAATAAAATTAGTTTATTTTAAATATTAGGTTCAAGATATATCTATGTTTAAGTGCGTATATGAGTTTTAAAAACTTCAAGTTTTAGATGCTCACGTTTAAGTTCTTCGCCGTCCGGAGTACACTTTCCCATGTCCATAAGACACTTGAAGTAGTTGTTTACCAAACGGTCGTTTGACAAAATCTCGTCGATGTTTATGTTGTCGAACTTAGTCGTGTATGTAGCCGGCTTTGCCATGGCTATGGTCGTGGCAATGCAAAAGATGACGGCCAAAGTTTTGATCATTTTTACTTATATTTTATTTTACGGTACTTTAAAAAAATAAAAAAATAAAATGTATGTAATTGGTGTGCTACACTATCTATCGTTAACGTCTCACGTATAGCTAAGACGATGATCGAACACGAATTGTGTGAGAAACGACAATGGTTTGCATTTATATAGGTACCGCGGTAAGGAAACGAAAATATTTTTCCATGACGTCAAGTGACGGGGGGAAACCCATTAGTGTGCTAATCGAACCGAATCAAATTAATTTTTTTTTGGAATCTCCTACTATTATACCTACATCATGTAATATAAAGTTTGTATGAAACGACGTCGAATCGGTCATCATGACAAGGTGATCCTCGTGATATTATTTCGTTTGAACGGTAACGGTCATTTTCATTTTCTACCTTGGAGAATTTTATTTATTCGCCGGTCACACGTGCAGATATAAATTAAACACCAATAACAATAACCTATTAGTTCTGACTAATAATTTTGAAACAAAAAAAAATTTAACAATTATTTCAAGATAGGGACGAATAACTATAATATATATAGACTGGTAAGAGGACTATTGTCGCGAAGCCCTGTTTCTTAAATAGTCTAAGTATCGGAATTTCAAAAAAATTTAATAATAATGTTAGTCGTACATTATGTTGATAATCCTGGATAATGTATTGTAAAACAAAGCATGCAGATATCAGGGCACAGTATCGTAATTAGACAAAATATTTCTGTGCAGAAAGTAATTAAAAATATCAGTGTAGTATAAATGAAATATCGTTTTGGACATAGAACATAATATGTGAGTTAATGGAAATTAATTATTTTATATAAGTCCATAACATAAAATGTTCAAAAATAAGTATTTCTATTTTACCGATTTCTATTTTAAAAAATCAAAATGGTTCAATTTTTCAGTTCTCAAATTATAGAAGGGGTACGGAGTATACCATAACTAATTTGTCAGACATTATGTCGTAGCTCTACTATTTATAACGCATGGAATGGAAAATATTTCTGCATTTTTATCAAATTTATTTTCATTAATAATTGGACTTCACTTTATTTTTATAAAAAAAAATGACTTTATTACACTCAACTTCATTTTAAACGCTAATTGTAACTCAGGACAAATCGTATGTCAAATTTTCGAGCATTTTCACTGAACCAAACAAATTTTAATCACATAAATCCAAATAAAAACCTAAAACATTCAACAATTTCAAATGAGTGTAAATAACTGAAAAATGGCCAGAATGTTTTCAAAATTTCACCGTGTATGGAAAGCCACATATAAGTATTTAGTGAAATGTCAAGCCTTTAGGATAATTTTACATTAAGTTAAAACAATAAAACAAAATCGAATATAATAGTACCCGTTTTTGAGTAAAGATTACAGTTTTCTTGAATTTTTTCTCAGGAATTCCTCATTATTAAGAATAATATAAAGAAAATAAAAAAATGACCTTCTGACAACATTTTCTCCCAGTAACCATCACCCTTAAAGTTGATAATCAGAACCATATTTCTGGTAGAAAAGTTATTTATAGATAAAATTTACACATTATTAGAATTATCTATCATAGTAGAACCATAGAAGTAATCACCATACCTATATTATATGTAAACAAAACTTAGCTTACAATAGTGTTTTTTTTTTTCGTAAATTACTATTCACTGAATTATATTAAAAACCAAATGGATATACTTCGCACGGTCGATGGGCCACTGTTGTGAGTGATGGATTGTTTCGACAAGAATACAATTTAATATATATATATATATATCAGTAAGCAACAGCAACGATAAAACATTGCTAACGAAAAACTATTCTAAGCGAAGTTCGGTTATACATGTTTTGAAAGACCGTAATATTTACGATTTGAAAAAAATACATTTTGAAAATTTTCCCATTTTTCCTACGTTTTTTCCCATTTATTTTGAAAATTCATTAGAAAATAAAATAATCTCCCTAAAGTACCACCCGAATCAGATTTTCTTTCAGAAAAAATGCTACGCTTGCAAATCGAAGCAAAATTGCTGGTAAAAAAGTTGATCACAGAAAAAAAAAATACAAATATAATTATTATCATAATACACTCCTCACTCCTCTCAGAATCTAAAATTGGTATAAAGCCTTTTGGGGGCGAAGGGCAAGGGCCCCGATGGGTTAGGTTGAGTTTAATAATTGCAAGGGACGCAAATTTGTTTGAGTCTTTTAGTCCCACTTCTTTATTTTTTTAATTCGAGAACTGATTATTTCCAAATAACTAGTTTACTTCTTCCCACAAACAATTAATAATTTGTTTTTGTTTTTACTGTAGTAATTATTTACCAACTAACGAATAAAATGTTTTGTTACAGGCAGACATATATAATCATAGTTATTCATCGGTAATTTTAATTATATAAATTATTTTATTTTGTATTAACATAAATTAATGTGCAAAATACTATTACGATAACAAATTATGAAATTCTAGTACCTTTTATTTTGTTGTTGTTTTTTTTTTCTAAGACTTGGTAATAATAGGATCTTGGTAATAATTATAATAAGCAAAACCCATTTAGGGTTGTGTATCACATTAATATTCAGGAGGTCCAGATGGCTAAAATGTAATTTTAATAGCACTATAATAACTATAATTATAGTAATTGTAATGCACATACACACTATGAGATGACTATATATATAACTTATTCATTCAACATGAATAATTGACTCGATTAATTTGAATTATATGGTTATAAATATATTTGAGTGATAATATTACAAAACTAATTTGTTGTTCGATTTATATAATAATAACCGTGCTGATTAACTAGATAGTTCATTTGGTATTTTTATATACCTAAATTAGAATTAATGAATCATATATTATGTTAGTTGCACAAATTGATTTTTTTAAAATTCAGGTGAAGTTCAAAACAATATACTAAAAAACCATTTTTACAGTATTTCTGTATACATGAAAAATTTGAATAAGTTATAACGAAAACCAATAGATAATTTTTTTTTCACTCGTATATTTGTTACATATTATTTTAATTATTTTAATACGAAATCAATTTATTTATTGTTATTAATATTATATAATATGGCATTATAAACCGCTCCAGAGGGTGGAAAATCCAGAACCACCGCCATTGCGCCTTTGTAGCGTCATTTCTATACATATAGTATGTAATATACAGAGTATTTTACGAAGATATAATCACTGCGGTATTTTGGAAAGTATTACCTGTTTTGGAATTTTTTCATTTTTTGAAAATTTAAGAAATAAATAGTTCTTTAAATGTTACATTACCATTAGTTTTAGTTTCCCTTATTTTGGCTAGATTAGGTTAGGTAGAACAACATAATATTGATTTTCAAATGGTAATTTATATCAAAAAATCCATAGATAGACAAAAATAAATATTAATTTAAATACAATTCGGTATTTTACATTATTCATTTTCGTCAAACCTTTGACAGTAAAGTGCTAACGTAACCTAACCTAGTGTTTCTTCGCAAGTTTTTCAAGTTGAATTTAAGTACCTATACAATTTTTATTATTTTGCACAGTATATCAGATTTCCTGTTAAATATTTTTACAAAAAGATTCACTAAGCACACTCATCCCATTTTTTTGGTTAAATTTTTCATGTATTAAAATTCAGATTTTTAGAATTTTTACAAGTGTAGTTAAGTGTAGTTAAAGCCGATATTATTTTCTAATATTAAGATTTTTCAAAAAATATAGAGAGTATCCTGTGGTGATACCAATTTTGGTTTTTCAAAAACCTATACTAAAAAATCCATAAATAGATGGAAAAGATATTAGTTTAAATAACTGTTAATGTCAAAATGTTGACCCGTTGACGAGATATCCCAATTTTAAATTTTAGTAGGGAGAGATTAGTGGAATACTAATAAAACGCTTTTTTGATATTTCACCTTCTATGTCTAACTGTAATTATTTTTCACATTTTTTTTCAAAGTACAAACAATAAATAAATATGAAAAACTAAAATAACTAAATAACGTAAACGAACGTTTAAAATTTAGTTATCATATTTAAATTATAATTTGCCTTAATTTCACGAATAACTGAAATAAATGTATAACTAATCTAAATTTGTTATAGTTCACCATGAAAAAAAAAAAAAAGACAAAATTATTGAATACAATAAATTACAAATAATATATTTATTCATATTTACATGAGCCAGACTTAATAATGTAAAACCTTGATTTTACGCTTTCCTTTATAATTTATCATGTTCAGGTTACAATAACAATTGTTACACATGCATAACAAAAAGTGAACCAATAAAATTAATTTCAAATCTGATTTCATTTATCTACGAATGCAACATTTCATGTTTTATTATTATTAAAAAATATAGACTCGATTTCGTCAATCAGTGGTAAATATAATCAAATAAAAAAAAACTCGTACATGATACTGTTGACAAAAGTATGACACACTTGTAGTTAAGAATTTAGGAAGGTAGAAATATAGAATATAAGTAAATTAAATTTATATCTGTACGCATCGATAAATTATTATTGCTAACAAAAATTGGTGATAGACAAAGTTTGGTTAATCATGTTTTAATAAATTTTAATTGAAAATCGTATTAATTTGTAACTAAAAAATAAATCAATTCGTATTCTTTTATTCTCAAATTTTTTAAAGCCAAAACAGTTTGTCTACATAAATCGAAAAAATAGTACCCGAATGCAGTGGTTTTGAACTTTAAACACATTTAAAAAAGATCTTGAGTATACATTTTTGATGTTTTTATAGTGCCACAAGAACAATACGTGATAATACATTTATTTTTTTTAATTATATAATCACATTTATAATGGGTTATTATAAATATTTTATGCAAATATCAAGCCTCTATAATTATTTTTAACCTACTTACAACACAGAATCAAAATTAAACATAATGGAAACCGTAGTTATTCCAAAAAAGTTCACGTTTTTCGTTATTACAAGTTTTTCCCAACTATTAAGAAAACTTCAAGGAAAATAAACTCCTAAATTCTTTTATACCAACTAAACAAAAATTGTCTACCAGAAATTACCCAATATCGGTACAAGATGTCTGGTATAAAAATTGAACACAATTACACAAAAAAAAGGGCCGATA